TTTTTTTTTTTTTTGTGAGGGCATGGGGTGAGGGGAAAGACATCAGACTGGGGCAGGAGATAGAGTGAAAAGCGAGTATATCATGATTGGGAGTATCCCTTTAGCTCCTTCAGTGTTTGTTCAGCACTTTTTAGCCAGCTGAATAGCTTATTCCCTCAGAGTGTTGGCAGCCTTTGGCAAAAGTAAAGCAATGTCAGCATTCCCCTGCTCCATCTATTTTTTGGAAAGGGATCGTTAAAAATGTTCCATTTTCACCTTGTTTGCAAGTTGTGATTAAGTCTTCTCCCTCAATTAAATTGTGACATTCTGGCTTGAAAAACAATTTCAAGATCAGGAAGATAAGCTAACACACATGCAAAAGAAAAAAAAAATCCTCCTTCTTTCTTGTGGAAAGAAATTGAACAGTTCAGTTGAGCCACTTCTTTTATTAGCAGTGAGAGAGACAAATATATTTTCCAAAAAAATTGCTGATAAAACAACAGATTTGAAAAACATAACCTTCATGCAACTCTCTGGAGCTCTTCACAGCAGTTTCCTCTTTGTCCCTTCTTCCAGCACACAGCAGAACCAGAGCTTTAGTGTCACAGATTCCTGCAAAGAATCTGCCTGGAGAGGTGGATGCCCTGTATCTTTGTAGAGTCCCTGATGTGGCACCTACACTGCTACTGACACCTCAGCTGCATCGAGATGGGCACCACTATGGCCGCAGCATCCCGAAGGTACGCCTCAGCAACCGAACAGAGCAGGGAGACTAAGGGAAAAAATCCCTGTGGTGTCCTTCCCACAGGCATTGATACTTTTTGTTGTGTCAGAGGTTTAAGAGAATGACTACATATCATGCTTCTCCACCTTTATAAAGAAGAGCTATGGCACAGAGAAGTTAGGAGAGCAGTTTATGGCAACTCAAGACCTCTCTGGTGAAGTCAACAGTCAGAATTCAGGTGAGAGTTGTAGTCCCTTTGTTTCAGCTATGAGACCACCCATCTTCTCTTTTGGCAAGCATGAGTGGAAATGTACTTCTGCCTTCCAGTGCCTGTGACCATGGTAGTTTCCAAGGGGGAGTATGTTGCAATTGTTTTAGTTTTTCCATTTCTGCTCTTCTTTCACAAGTTGCCTATAAAAACCTGCAACACTTTTACATTGTCCATGTTCAGGGCTCTCTTGAAAACACAACCCTACTCTGATTTCTGACAAAACCTGTCTGACACTCCTGACCTCTTGTTGTCAGGAGTGTGTTACTTCTCCAGCAACCAGCCAGGGTTAGAGGAAGTATGTGTCAGCAATGACTCCATGCATCCACCCATCTTCGCTTGCTGTGCCCACTGACTGCAGGCTGGCAGGGCAGGGACCATCGCTTCCTACACTTCTACAGGGCTTTGGCCTATCAGTACTTCCAACCACAGCACTGATGGAGTCCCCTGAGAACGCCTGTTTTCAGGTTTCAATAACATATTCCTCCTTTTTAATGAGTTTTTTAATGCCATGAGAAACAATGGAATTTAATTTACTTAAGTCATTCCTCCTCAACTGCAAATAATAAGTGCAAAAGCATCAGGAGGATGCTACAGTCCCACGATGTGGGAAAGTAGTGGTGGCTCTCTACACTTCCCCTGACTCTAACGTAATGGAGTTACCTTAATAAGCTGGTAGATTTTCATAAACCATGGCCGTGTTGCAATGACCTGCTTCTTGGGTATTTGTTTCCTTGTTCTTTAGGCAGCTTCATTTCTGTGTGTGCAATCACAGCACCCTCTACTGCCTCCCGCCGAACCTGCAAAAGGACCGCGAGTAACTGTGGACTCTAAAAAGGACTTTAGGAGTGACTAGGCTTTCTGATAATCACGCATTGTTTCATATACGACACAACCCCCGCACCATGAGAACGATAATGCAAGGTGTTTCAGTTCCGTCTAGAACGTAGGCCAGAGCTCATAAATGAACAGTATTAATTCCTCAGGGAATCAAGCACCTATCAGTCTGAGAGCTGTTTTTCCTTTTAATCTGTAAGGCATTATCTTCCACTTTTGTTAAGGCCGTGGAGGAAAAAAACAGATCTATTTTCCTAGTGATAAACACGAAAAGGCGCTAGGCCACGTGATACTGCTGTGCACTCCTGCACCGACTGTCACGGGCCTGACGGAAAACTCCCAGTACAGAATCCACCACCCCTCAGGAGCTTCAAGTGCAAGGGCTGTGGAGTGCCCTCTCGGCCCTGCCAAGCGCAGGTTTCCCCTCTGCTGTTTTTGCACAGATCCAGGAGTCTGGTTCGTTTAGTCTCACATCCCGCCCTTCACCGCCAGCCGCGCTCAGCGGGGCCCTTTGCACCAGTCCCGCCTCACGGGGGGCGACGGCCCGCTCCCAGGAGCGGCCTGCGAGCGGCTCCCGGTGCCTGGGCACTGACACCGCGCCTCGTGGGCCAGGGAACGCGGGCTCCGGAAGCGGGCGGGGCGGCTGGAATCGCGCTCGGCCCGGCAGCGGGGGCAGGAGCTGGGGCGGGGGCGGGAGCGGGGCCGCCCCGGGCCCTCCCACCCCGCGCCGCTGACGTGGCTCTCCCCGCGCTGCGCATGCGCGCGCGGCCCTTCCGGAGCGGAGCAGGATGGTGCTGCTGGAGAGCGAGCAGGTACGGGCCCGCCGGGAATGGGCCCTGCCCCGTGTGCCGCCGCGGAGAGAGCGAGGGAGAGAGCGAGGGAAAGAAAGACAGAGGGAGGGCCCGCAAAGCCCTGCGGCGACGCTGGCTCCGGCGGTGGAGGAGCCACTGGCGGGGAGGGGAACGGTCCGGTCCCCGGGGTCTGTCTCTGCGAGGCAAAAGCGCCGGGGCCTCGGGATGTGCGGGGGCTCAGAGCTCGTGTTCGGAGACAGAACCGCTGGCCGGGCCGCCCCTGGCTGGGACTTCGTGTCCTGCAGCTTGAGCGTGGGGAAAGCCGAGAGTTGGTCTTCCCTCGGTGCTGCCTCTCTCCCGCGGGTGGCAGAGAGCCCGGGCCGGCGCGGCGCGGGGAGAAGAGCTCGGAGCTCGTGTGGGGGCCCCCAGCCACGGGCGCGTCTCTTTTTCTTGCAGTTCTTGACGGAGCTCACCAGGCTCTTCCAAAAGTGCAGGACTTCCGGGAGCGTTTTCATAACGCTGAAGAAATGTAAGTTTGGAGTCTGTTACTGGATTAAAGAGGTGTTCCTATAAATCTGACTGCTGTCGTCAGGTATTTTAAGCAATACAGTTGTAATCTAGGGTATCTGGAGACAAGAGCGGCCATAGGGACAAACCCGTCAGCTGGAGCACTGATGTATTAGCCCTACATTTATTAGTGTATTTACTAGTACTATTAGTATTAATAACCTTTGAGTAAGACTGTATTTCAAACTACAGGAAATACTGTGACTTTCTGATTGTCAAACAGTAAGTGAAAATCGTTCGTTTTCTGTAAGGAATGTTTTCGTTTTCTGTAAGGAAAGGAGTGTTTTGATGTTGTTTTTGAGTGTTCATGTTCCTCTGGTTCCTGGCTAGCTGGCACTACTAGAGAAGCAATGTATCGAGGCAGGAGGCAGCAGGCTGACGTGCATTTAAAGCATGAGCAGGCGGGGCATACAGCACCTTGAGGGAGGATTTACTTCCATTTCTTCTGGCAGATGCAGTTTACAGAACAGATCCTTCTGGGGTTCTGGAGTAAGAGCAATTTGGCAGCAGCGTTAGTTCAGCTGGCCTGAAATTCCCGGTGCTTTACAGATCTGCTCATGAGCAGTTCTTAACATCTCACATCAGAAGGCATCTGTAGATTTTAATGAAATAAGAATAAAAATTCTTTTTCAATACAGATGATGGCCGAACAAAGCCAGTTCCACGCAAAGGCCATGTAGAAAGTTTTGAACCAGCAGACAATAAGTGTCTCCTAAGAGCAACTGATGGAAAGAAGAAAATTAGCACAGTGGTAAGTGACAAATTTTAGGTTAGAAAGATTAGTGCCTCTGTGTGTTTTTGATTTAATGCTCCATATTTTAAGTGAAACTTGAGAAAATGTTAACTGAAAGTTGAAAACCTGGTGTGTATTTACTTTGAATGGGGGATTGGAAAAGGCTTTAGCTGACTTTAGCTCTGCTCTGTGATATGACACAAGGAAAAATGTTACTTGGAGAAAGAGCTGCTGATTTGAGCTGCAGCAATTTATGGCCCCACAAGTGAATCAAACCTTTCTTTGAATGCTTTTTCACATTCCTCCCATTTGAAAACATTGACTTAAGGATGAATGGCCTGTAGAGGGTTTTGTTAATCAAGGAATGTTTTCAGTTTTCTAAATCAGTGAAGTCCTGTGATGTACCAGTACAGCACATTGACCACTGAATGTGGTAAGTTGATCCAACTCCTGCTAAAAAGACCAGATGCTAACTGATGGGTAAACGTTCTGATACTTGGTTTGTAATAGAAACCAGAGTTTTCATGGTTAACCTCCAGTATTACTTTTGTAGGTGAGCTCAAAGGAAGTAAATAAATTCCAGATGGTAAGTTTTGTATGGCTTTTATCCTCCTTTTCCATAAGCAGTACATGTGGTCTGTTGGAAGCACTGGACACCTGTGAACAGGTTGATTCTGTGCTGAACTGCCACAGAAACTAACTCAGACTACCCATTTATCTTAATCTGTTTTTTAAAAAATCCTGTTTTATTTTGCCTAACCTTGTACATTGGTTTAGAAACAGTATTTTCCTGGTGCAGGGTGTAAGAGCATGGTTCTCTGGAAAAAGGCAGATAACTGGCCATTAGTAATACATAAAATGTTACCTCTTGTGTATTGTCATTTAAGTATTTGGAGTTCTTTTAAATGGTTCTAATTGTTATTTCAGGCATATTCAAATTTGCTAAGAGCTAACATGGATGGCTTGAAGAAGAAAGACAAGAAAAGCAAGGCCAAGAAGAGTAAAGCAACACAGTGATGGGATGGTGTGTCACCAGCACTATAATAGACTTGACCCTTGCTCAAAGCAAAGTCCATTTCTTTTTGAGTTACCACTTGTCTGGCTTTCCTTCCAGCAGGATACTGGGATGTGATCAGTACTTTTGTTTAAACTGAGAGCAGAGGTGCTTTCTTTGGGTTGTTGTATGGCAGGAGTATGTACAGCATTATACTGAAATAGCTTTACGCTCAGCTGGTTTGTACTTACACTGCTGGGTTTTACTCTGCAGTGTAAAATCTGTCTGGGGGGTAGCACAGGGTAAGAGAAATGCACCGTACCAGAAGCAAAACAAGACTGGTGCAGCAGCCTCAGTGACAGATGCCCAGGTTTATAGATGAGCCTCAGTAGTTCTAGGGAAAGCAGGTGCCACCATATTATCAGGAACAGCTGCTTTCCTGTTTCTTAATCTGAGGGCCATGTCTACATGGCACAGTGCAGATATCCCCAAGGCAGCCAGCAAAGTGCTGGAGTTCCTGCAGAGCCTTCACTCCATGCTGATCCAGCTGTTCTGACCTGGGTTCAGGGTGGGGGGAGGGTAGAACTCTGCATCATGTTCCCTTCAGACATGGCTTAAAAATGCTCATGTCACCTAAACTTTTTTTTTAAAAACATCATCCTTCAGTATATTCAGGGATCTGAATTTTCCTTCCTTCATATGAGCAGATGTAAAAAGTAAATATGTAATTGCTCCTATTAAACATAATGAAAAATTGATTTGGTGTAATGACTGATGTGACTTGTCTTGGTGAATTGCTAGGAATGGCACAGTTATCTATGCCTTTAGGATTGGCTGCTGCTGCTTTGGACATTGCTGTTAGAACCTTCACATTTCTCAGAAGTTTTTTGGTTTGTCTTGAAAATTAACTATACATGTTTTAACTTTGCCTTCTTCTTTGCTACAAGAAAGGGTAGAAAAAGTAAGTTGGTATTTATTAATGTAATAAAAAAACCCCCTACAAATAGCAATTGTTTAGAGTTAGAGAAAGAAAAAGGTTTAAGTTATTTAAACAAAAGGTACCAAGTAGGGAGGGAGGGTAAACACCAATGTGTTTCCAAAAATCCTTAACATTTCTGCATATTCATCCAGTGTTTTGATGTGAAATACACAGTTAACTATGGCTGCTGTAAATCAGTTTCTCAGCATAATTTTTCCTGATGGGGTTGTGTTACAGTTCAGCTTCAAGAAGGTAATTAGAATACTTCCATCATTACTATGACTTTAGCCTCAAACTTCATCTGACAACTTGGGTAAAGAAAGTTAGTTCAAAACTTTGGTTATGCCCCAAGCACATGCAGCTTATGTTTCTCTTCAAAGTCTTTGGTTTAGATTCTACAGGTCTGAAACAAGTGTTTTTCTTTTATCAGGTGTTGATCTCACAGAAGCTGCTGCTTGATTTCAATGCAAAAGTACAGACAGGACAAGCACAGGCTTGTAACAACTCTCAGCCTGAAGTCTACCATATTTTATACATAAATTAAAACAGTAGGTTAAAAATCCCAACCAAAAATGAAACACAAAAGGCTCATAATGAGTATTTCAATAAGGCTCAGCAGTTTTTATTACATAAAAACTCCTCCAAAATGTTTAAAACAATTTGTTAAAGGTAATTCTTTCATAATTCTAGAACTGACATTGCTTGTTGCAGTACTACTGTTGCATAAAAGGCATTTTGAAACTATTTAAAAGAAGTTTTACATCTGTACAGCTGATTGATGTAGCATAAGGGGCAAGAATTACATGGTAATGCCTAGCTGTGGCTATAGTCAGACTTGCTCCTTAATTGCCTATAAAACAATTCCACATTTTGAAAGCATTTAGTTTTGTATTTGTCATGGTTTAGGAATGTCATTCTCTAGTTTAGTGCTCCATTTGAATCCATGTGCCACTCACTACCCCCTCCCCTGCTGGTGGCTGGAGAGGAGAACTGGGAGACACAGAAGGTAAAGAGCACAGGTTGAGGTACGAATTTACTGGAAACAGCAGTGAGATAAACCAGTAACAGCAACAATACCAGTGGCAGAAGGTCCAGGACAGGTGAACGAGTCCACAGAAACAACACACCCCAACTGCTCCCTCTGCCACACTGTGCCTGTCTGGAAGGCCCCCAGCAATGGCTTGAGGTGGTGCAAATGAACCTCTGGGTCCTGGCCATGCCTCCTAGCTACAGCAAATCTTAACCCTCTCCCGGCCAGAATCAGGACAGTATTATACATGAAATGCAATTTGGACACAGAAAAAGCAGAAAAAGGCACTAGTTGCCTGTCTTGCATTATTACAGCTTTTTGAAATTCCTTCTGACAAAACACTGTTGTCCATTTGTAGAAGCATCCCATGAAAGATGCTTTAAGTACTAAAACAAAACTTTGTATTCATCTCGGTAACTGTACAGGATAAGTGCAGGAACCCTGCAGAGGGAAAGAAAAAACAATTTTAAAATTTTGAAACTGCAGGTTTGAATGCTGCAATTCCTGTGACAAATCCTCACAATAAGATAGCAGCAAAGATTTAGTAGAAAATCAGTAAGTTTTATTTTGTTTGGCTGTGATTGCAATTTTCCCCTCATCCTCTTTCCATTGATACCTTGCCTGTTCAGTTTTCACTTCAGTGATCTAAAGGCTTATGGCTAGGTAGTGCTCAAGCCCCAAATAGGGTAGGAAGATAGTCAGGGACTGTATTACATTAATACCCAGCATTGTATGGAGTATTATTTGGGTTCTGTTGCTCACAGCCTTGCAAGCCCCATAAAGACAAAAAAAATGCTTCACTTGATATGTAGCTGCCTTAGTAAACAGCAAACCTGGAGCAATTTTAGTGCATCTAAGAAAAAGGAACCAAAGTTTTAGTCTTATTTAAAGGTTAAGTAACTTCAAATGGAACAAAAAAAAATTAAATTAAACCCATACTTAGGCATAAATACCCAGGCCTCAAGTGGGTTCGGTTTAAAACTGGTCATACCGGATGCATCCAGATTATCTGTATCAGCCTTGCCAGAATCCAGCTGGATTCTATGGGAGATTATGAGTTGAATATAAATGTTTTTGTGCTTACAAAACAAAAATGGGCTTTACTGTATATGTTGGGAGAGCATCCATCACACTTGCACGAAACTGGGCACTCTCCCACCTGTGCCTGACTGCCATTGTATTATTTTAAAGCAGGAGGAATTAAATGTGCTCATGAATTCTGAAAGACAAGCTGCATGCCTCTCATCAAAAAAGAGAGCTTTTATGTTGCAGTATAGATGTATATATTATATATACATGTATATTTACATATGTAGAAGTATGTGTACTATGTATAGCAGGACACCTGACTGTACATAGCTGTCTGCTATTTATTAACACAGCAGCACATGAGATAAAAGTGGCGATACATTCTACAGCTTCTTGGAAAAGACTTAGAAAAATGAAGTATTTAACATTTTATCAGTAAGTGAGGGTTGGTGACCAGTCCTCTAGTTTTGAAGGAACTATACACATTTCCTGAGTATTTCTTTTTGCCTCAGAGAGAGGGGAAAGCGGAAGACAAGTTAGGAGCAGCTTATCTTTTAGTTTGAATACAGAAAAAATTGAGGTAGTTTACATACCCATAAGAGCTTAACAAATTTACCTCTTTTCCATTTTGAGACTGTAAATTTCATCACAAATTGCTTGTAAATAGGAAGATCTCTGCTTGGGCCATCGTGACATCAGCTGTCTCACAGTAGCATCAAAGGCTTGTCTATCTCCATCAAGCTATGGAAAAAAAATTGATAGGGAACTATGCCAGTCTTATATTCTTTTGTGAAGGAAATACTTCTTCCAGTAGTATGCAGCCTTCTGAATACTGTGTAATGTCAATGCTCTTTAATTGAACAGTTTCAAACATGATGAATGTCAACAACATATGGCAACTTGATTTAATTTTTTTTAAGAAAAAATGTTAATTTAGCGATCAATTTCTTAACACATTTCAGTGCTAAAAAGGCATAAGCAATAAAAAGGGCTGTGTCAGCTTGGCAGTGCTGGAGAGAATACAATAACCGTGATGTACTGGTGACCAAAAGTGAATGATGCCAGCTGATCATGTGCATATGCATTTAATTTTTATTTTTATTTTTTTAATTAAAAGGTGATAAACTACCTCCATGCTTTATATAGACTGGATGAACAAAGTATTTTAAAAATGTTTTGAAACATTTCACTGGGTTTTGATTACCAGACAAGCACTACTTCAGAGCAGCAGATAAAAGGTATGAAAGTACTAAATGGACTTCCAGTAGGATGCCGTTCTTGACTTTGGGTTTTTTTTAGGGGGTGGAGAGGCATCCATCCCTCCATCCATCTCTCTCAAGTTAGCACTGTCATTGGAGAAAAGATGAAAGCTTTGTCTTTGGTGCTTTCATCTTTCTTGCATCATTGACCAGTTCCTGAGTTGTTAAAGGTGTCGATATAATATACATCCCCTTTTATCTTCACTTCACTAAGGGATGCTTCAGCTATTGTACTTGAAACAATTGCCTCTGTATTTTGGGTTCTTCATTAACAGCTTCAAGGAACACCTTGGTTAAAACTGCTATTAATGCTTACTGGTTTCTGAAAAAGAGGAGCTGATTTAATTTTAGATAATTATTCTTGGGGGAAAAACTCAGAGCTTTGGATTAGGACTTCCTAGTCTTGTCTTGTGTAACTTAAACATTTGACAAAAAGATTTTTCTCAGTCAAGCTCCCTGGGTAAATCCTTTTAAGTTTTAAGCCTAATTCAAACTTTAAAGAGAAATCTAGAATGGGTGTATTTTACATTTCACTTAATTTGGAACAGAATTTATCATCTATTGTGTTTAGTTAGAGTTCTAACAACAATACTTAATTGCTTACCTCTAATGATAAGAAGTGTATCACAGTTGCTTTTGGCAGATCAACCTGTAAGTGTACCAAGAAATCAATACTTAGCAGTTCTGTTACCAATTTGCCAACTTGAGATGAGCTATGCTGAAGGGAGTCAGACTTTTTGATTTTCAGAGAAGCACTCATGCTGTTAAAACTGGGAACTTAGTTTAAAATTATTAAAACCTTTTTAACTATTCATGACAGATTCCACTATGGGAAGCGGCACATAGGTGCAGGCAAATAGGCAGTTATGTTTCCTGAGAAAGATACACCATTTTAAAGTTCTTTGTGACATGGTCATGAAGTCTAAAAGCTATATACAAACAAGAGTTGTGTTGGCTTAAATGAAAGTCTAAATCTAGCCAGGAGCAAGTTGTTACACCTACCACAGTAGCTGGTGTAATTACAGCTTAAGAGCTTACAACTAAATGCTTGTTAAATTTTATTCCGTGCAACTATCCCATACACACAATTTGAGATACTTTTCAAGTATCAGAAACAGAGCAGGGGTCTTATTTAACCCTTTATTTAAATGTAATAAAGTTTGATTCATTAAGTTATCGCTAAAGTGAGGCAACTGGCAGTTTGTTCCAGACAGGAATGACATCATCCACTGCAATTAAGAATTTGGAATTAATTCAGGCTTCTGCCAAATACTTACTGCTAAAATCTCAATCTCACTTGTTTTCTGTTGCAGGCTAGAAATGAATGTCTGAAGTCTTGTTTGTACCTGGGAACAAAAGATGGGCAAAAGTAAAATACTGCTTGTGTGACACAGTTTAGAAGCATTAATTTAATATTGCATAAATGAGAACAAAAGAGGCTGCTTCTAAGAAGACATAGAACTACATAAGATTTAAACAAATATTTAATGTAATTTTCAGTAATAATCCATGATGAGCAGAGATGAAGGAGACTGGGGCTGAGACACTTGCAGCAATGGTACACACTTGGTAACACTGGCATGGTGCTAAAGCAGACAGAACCATGTGGATGCTTGTATAACAATTGAAAACTGCCCTCTGTTTCTGGTGTTAGGTAAGTTTTAAAGGAACCTGAGAACTTGTGACTGGATGCAGTGAATCACCTCCAGCTAAAGGAGGAGGATGGCTTTTGAACACCAAACCAAAATAGGGGTCATGCCTTATAACACTTTTTTTCAGAGCAAGCTACTGGTCCTGCCAAGGTAGCACTTTACAAATGTAGTTGCAGCCTTGCATTATGTTGTCTTTTGTACCTTGGAAATGTTGCTTTTACATA